CACTGTTGGCTGAAATCATAATTTATGGGCTTTGTTACGCGGAGTAAGATTATTGAAACGGATAAAATTTAGCTGACCGACCACCCAAGTTTTGATTTGAAAAGGTTATTGAAACGAAATACATACTGCTAGGCCAATGTTAAACTTGGGTCTGGGCCTGGGCATGCTGGCAATTCTTGCATCATCAAGATTCAAGCTTCAAAGCCCATCAGATTTTAAAAGAATTCTAGCGTTGATTCCCATAGACTTTAGATTGATTTACTATAGATTAAAAAAAAAAAATAAAAAAAAAAGCTATATTTAAAAGATATTCATTAAATTTTAGTTGAAAATATTATTACCAATCAATGAGGCTTACTGTAAGACCCTTACAAAGGGCAAGGGCAGGCGTGTGGCTTTCATCCTTAGCCACAGCCTCGCCAAGACAACACACGGGTGTGTGCTGAACAAGGATGGCTGAGATCAGGCGCGAGGTGTTTGAGTGTTGGGACGCCAAACACTTTACTGATGAAATGGCTTGCGGGTGTGGGCACTTGCAAGTTGTAACATGTGCGGGTGGGCATGTTTTAACATGGGCGTGTGTGCTCATGAGCAGGCTAGACAGTGGCACACGAGCTGGGACGTGTGCAAGCATGCAAGACAACCAACGAGTGGCTGAGTTCATGCATGGGATAGAAAGTTGCGTGCATGAGGTGCATGGGAGTGTGCACGAGTTGAGGGAAATAATCAGACAAGGCTGCATGGTTGCTGGACCAAGGCTGTGGAGCAGTTAGGCGTGTCCAGGTTCATTTGTATTTAAAGCAACTGTCATGTAACTGCTGATAAGAATGTAAAACTGTTATGTAACTGCTGTGCCATTTGTTTATAAGGCTGGCAGATGTCATATTCGTGAGACAGAGAGTGAGAGGGCAAGGGTTATGCGTTTGTAAACCTTGTTGAAACTTGAGTGCGAATCTGTGAGTGAGGATCAGATTGTAAACAGTGGGAAAACGCTGTATGTGTGCTTGAGTTGTCCTTGTATTCGGATATATAATATAAGGTTGGGAATTTCTCGTATATGGTGTGCATTGACTCTCTTTAGCCTCTGTTGTATTTTGTTTGTGATTTGTAACAGGGGGAACGCACAACTTGAGGTAGGCTTACAAGTGCTCGGTGTGCTTGTGCCGCGCAGTGCCTAGAGGCGAAAAATAGGCCCTGTGACACTTACCATATTGGATAACATTCTGTTTAGTCAAACTTTCCCAAAGTCTGGGTCAATTTACATACACTTCAACTAATCTTTCGGGACCTTAAAACTACCGAAAGAGTAAGAGTTTCAATGGCATGGCAAACCCTATTAACAACCGTGGGGACTCGAACTTGAGAGACCATGTTAGATCATTTTTTGCTCTTTTACCATAAGGGCACCCAATAATGGTTTTTCTTCACTGTAATTGTGATCTATTATTCAGTTTTTACCTGCTTGAGCCTTGAATGACAGGAGACTGCATGCGAATTTCTTGGCACTACTGTACTCACCTAGTTTGGAAATTGTTGGTAGTGCTCTGTCTTGAGGCACATTGAGGAACTTTCCAATGACTTGATCTGTTTTTGGTTTAGTTTTCCAAACTTCATATCTTTTGTTCTTCTCTTGGTAAGCGACATCCATCCTCACAAAAAATGAGGCTTGAACAATTATTATGCCATATTATTGGTGTATTAGAATTTGACTTTATTGCAAATTCTCTGAAACAATTTATCTTCCATTGTTGGTAATATTGACATCTGAGATTCTGATAACCGACGGAAATTGATTATACTCTGCTTCAGGAAGGGATATTCTATGTTTGGTGATTGTAGTATGCAGACAGAAGTGGGGTATGTAAACTATGTTGAGCTGCTTGCAATGTATAGTACTAAATATTTCATTTGCAAATGCTTTGATTTGAGCCATTTCAGTTTAGCTGTTTGCTTGATGGCCCTTTTGCATCAATAAGAAATCATTTTAAAATTTTATTAAGGATGTTTTATGTATAGTAACAATCTAGAAAAGTTTATGAGTTAAATAATATTGATGCTTATGTATGTTCATAAATGCTGGAGTAGCTGGGTTAGAGAGTGTGACTAGTAACCACAAGGTCGCAAGTTCAAGCTCTCCTTCTAGCGTTTTGCAAATATATTTTTGTTCAGCTTCTGGAACAGATCGTGGAAGTCCATGACATGATGAAACAATTCGACAAAGTGAAATATTTGCCTGACAAAGTAAAAAAATTGTAAAGCAATCTATTGCAGGAAAGATTGAGCGTATTAAAGAATGAACCAGGCTTACAGTTTTAATATAGCTATAAATTATAATGTGGTTTTTGGCTTTCAGGGACTTATTGCAATAAAAACTATATCTGCATAGCAATGTTTGTGTACAGTTTCACGTGAATTGTAAAATGTCCTGTTCAAACTTTCTCTGGAAATTTTACAGCATATCATCAGAATTCACAAAACCAGAAAGTTCGTGCTTCTCAATAATTGTTCACATTTAATGTCACTTTCATAGTTGGTCCTGACCCACCTCTGCGTCATCTTATCCGCAATGCTTGATGTGAATTTGCTTCTTTTCTTTATTATTATTATTGTAGTCTTTAATTTGTCCGGACGGAGACGTGAACTTCTTGATGTGATGTTGATTTACTTTGTCGAAACATGGATTGTTTCTCGTGTTACCTTGACCGAAGAATGTGCTGGAATTTAGCAAGAAAAATGTATTAGAATTTCTTATGTCGAGCTGCATATAAGGATTAAGATAAGTCCTATAAAATAGTTCATTTGGTATATCATATCGGTAGAGATTAACAGAGTTAGAGAGGGATTTTAGAGTGAGAAAAATATTGTGAGTGTCTATCTCTTAAGCTCGTATTTTTCAGAAAATTCTGATGAGAATTCTTCAGGTTTTGATGTAACTTTCTTTTAGTGAATGATCTTCAATGGCTTCTCCTTTCCAGAGGATGTAGGAATAAATAAACCTTGATTAAGTATATAGAAACCAAATAGAACTCCTTAACCTTAACGGTACATAAGACTCTTTCCTAGTTTTAATCTGATTAGAAATCCTTATTATCATCTTTCTATATTGAAGTCTATAAATATTCCTCTTCATCAATCTCATATTTCCATCTTTAATTTTCTCTCCATGAATGTATCATTGAAAATGGATATGATAGGAACAGATAGCTGATCACTTGAAATGGGAGATTTATGGACACAAGTAAAGAATCTTTGTATTTGAAGTTAAACGTCTGAGAACAGACACATGAATTTAGCACTATCTGATTGACCATTATAGGCACTATGATATACGCCAATCCTTCCAGAATCTGAGATATGTGTTCAGCCTATTGGATATGGTGTATACTGCTTTTAGCCTTGACGTACAGATTGTCTGCCTACGACTACTCATTCGGATTGTTTGCCTTAGGATTTTCTATTATGAGTATTTTGTAATATTAAAAAACTTAATGTGAAATAGAGAGTGAGAGAGTGAGATGCTGTTATAATTGCATCAAGTTCCGATACTCAGTTAAAATTCTCTGTTTAAATATTGAATATAATTGCTTAATTAGAACGAACCAAAGTAAATCATTATGTACTGTCTTTATTGTATATTTATTTATGACGTGTTTGCTTTTCGGATTCAGCACAGCCGAGTTCTAGCAGTTCTCTGCATCAGATTGAATCACGAAATTTATGAAGAATTAATATACATAGTAATGCTAACAGCATGCCATTGTTTGATGTAACATCTTAGAAATTTATATGAGATATATTTGTAGACGTTTCTGGTTGATACTGACTCCAAACATAAGGATATGTTTTTTTTAATGTAATCACAATATATATATATATATTTTTAAGTTATATTCATTAGAAAACAGTTTTTTTATTGCAACTTGACATTCCACTTATTTTTAGAAATTTTTTAAAGAGTTGTGCAGGTGGTATCCTAACATTTCTCATTGAATAATATGTCATCCTGGATAATATGATCATAAAAGTATAGTCTAAGATAATATACTTGCAGGCCATGAAAATTTTATAACTGTGTTAAGAGGAAGGAGATGCAGCGAAGAGGCCAAGATGAATGGTTGGTGGAGCAAGTAAAGCTGAGTTGTTTTTTGACGTCGCATTATATGGGTGCTTGAATTGCTTTTTGACCTTTAGATTACCGCATAAAAGGGAATATTAGCCTTTTTATATATTGTTTTAAAATTGATAATCAAGCAGTTGTTGAAATCGGAATGAAGTTTTTGCTTCAGGACTTGCTTAAACATGATTCGTCCTTGGGGGAATACCCAGCAGTAATCAAGTCTCCTGTGATCTTAATAACCGCAATAAGTGGCTCCATTTGTTACGGAATAAAGCTCGTGCATCTGATAAAAAGAAATGGATTATCTATACTTTGTTAAACAACGATTAGCAGTTTCAGGTAGACGATAATATTAATAATATACAGTACAAGCATTACAAAGAATAAAATATGGCTTTAGACATGGTGATCGTTATCGCACATCAGAACCTGGAACTATCAACTGAGTAAGAGTTCCAATGGCCATCTCTATTAGCAGCCTCCTTTGATACCCTGAAACTACCAGTCGAGTAAGAAATCCAATGTAACCCTTATTAGAGGTTGAGATAAATCAAATTCATAATCTCTTGAGTAATACATTTGAAAGTTTTAATTGACTACTCGACTATCCAGTGATGATTATGACAATATTATAATTGCTAAAGGATTGTTCATTAATTTGTTCTGGACAGGGTAAACTGTAAAGGACGGCCACCAAATGAAGATAAACTGTAAAAGGACGGCCACAAAATGAAGATACTAATACTAAATTCACTTCGATTCCATTAAAGAATTATATAAAAAAACTCGTACGGAAAGATAGGGCATCCACCATATGTAAATAATAAAGAAACTTTGCAACTGTCACCAAGCAAAATGCCACTAGGAATATATACGAAAGAAAAGAATATATATGAACTCATCATCTCTTCTCGATTGGCAATACTAGACGGACGGTTGCTAAACCTTACACATACTCAATTAATAATTCCCTCCTCCACTACTTCTTTAGTATTGAAAATTTGAAATAAGAAAATCAAATATTAAAAAAACAAACTTCAATACGCTAGCGCCGAGTCATAGTTTGTGTCTTCAAATCAAGCAACGTGACTGCTGATGTATATATGTCTCATTTGTATCCTCCCACATTTCTCACCTGAAATTCGATTAAAGAATTCCCAGAATGGTGTTGCAGGCTAGTGTCTAAGCGAGTTGACCATTTGGGCCTTATTTTTGCCGTCCAAGTTTTGAGGCAAGCTGCCTGCAGCATCTCGAAACCCTGCAGGACCCACTCAGTGGACCTAAGACGTTAGCCTGAGGCTAAATGAGCAAAATTCCCAAGCCCAAAAAAGTTAAAAAGGGCAGTAAGAGGAACTTTAAAGTTAACAATTAAGTAAATTTCTTCAGTGGTCACAAGTAATTTGGGTGAACTGAACTTAAGACATTTCAAATAATACATCCAAAACTTCCCAATTGCGGCTGAAATTACGATGGTAGCACTGATGGAAGTGGGCGTTGAATGTCGAGAGCCGGCTGATACATTAGCAGCCCCCGGGAATTGGCCATTGGCGGACTTGACACTGCACCCACAAGTCAAAATCACCCGGAGACATTAGTAAGGACGGTGCTTGATATTATAAATGTTTTATTTAAACACATCATGAAAAATACTTTTTTTTTAAAATGAAACGTGGGAAGCAATATTATAGAACGAAGGACTATAACACGTACCCCCTTTATAAAACCCTCAACCCCAACCGACCCAATAAGAAAAAATCCTGGTTGGCTACAGTTTGTCAACTCTTACCAACAACCTGTCACACCCTCACAGCTGTATTTTGCCGCGTTTTGTTTACTTGGTGAAACTAAAATTTCAAACAAAATTGATTTGTAACATCCTAAACTATAATCTGTAAACAAAAATCGTGTGGATTTAGATTGGAAAATGAATTTACCTTGTGCTTGGACTAGGACAGAAAGTGATAGCATAATCGGCGGCGGCACAAGTGAAGGTACTTGTTCCATCATCGTAGGCGTAGCTGTAAGCTTTAGGACACGCAGTTTTGAAAAACATGGAGTAAGAACTTGGCTTGCATGTATCTGGTGTTGCATATGCTCCACTGCAGCAATATTGAGGATCACCAAATGCTTCACATGCGCTTTTACAGGCAACGGCCTCGCCATTCGCCGTTTCAGTAACCTTAAGCTCCGTCGGACATCCATTGTTCAAGTCCACAACACATCCAGTTATAGTACAGTTCCCTCCACTTCCACCTTGGGGTGTAACCAGCATGGGAAGGTTATAGCCGTCAACAAGACTAATGTCGTAAAAATCGAGCCCGTCTGCACCGTTTAGAGTGAATTCAGCCAGGGTGGCAGGAGGGGCTGCTCCACTACCAGAGCATTCTGGAGTGCCAGAGCCACAGTCACCGGTTAGGCAAGTGAATTTGTTAGTTGTGGAGTCTTGGGTGCAGAAAGTGCGACCCCATAAACGTCCTGACCAAGAAGTAGGCACCGAGATTGAAGTTGACTGGCCTGATTCCAGAGAGAAGCCTGTGGTGGAAAGTTGTGGGGTTCCAGCTCCAGAAAGTATCCCTGGCCAGACTGTGTAGCTGCACTTGTTTGTTATTGTAAACGTTGCTGATAATGTGCCTATACATCAATTAAAATTACTCAATAACCAGCAACACTATATAACGAATAAAATTAATGATGCTTCTAGTAGTACCTGAAAGTAGCTGGAGAAGATATAGAGCAAATAAGATGATCGAAAACTGTATGCGTGCCATTTGAGTATTAGCAGATGAGGAAGGAGTTGGATTCTTGTTGCTCTCTGTTTTTGTTAATGTCGATTACGTTTTGGAGAGAGGCAGAGAGCTATAGATTCTTGTAATTTGAAACATTAGTATTTAAAGAGTGGAGAAGTGAGGATCATGTGCGCCTGTGCGGAAACGTATAGCAAGTACGGTGGGGTGGGCCATTAATTTATAGGATTTGTCGATTTGGACCCACCGCACAAGACTGCCTCGTTCAGGTCGGCAACTGTTGTTGGAGTCACGCAGGTAGACACACCCAAACCTATTAATTTATAAAAAGAGGTAATTCTCATATTTAATAAGGTATATTGAGTGGGGAGTCAGACGTATCTTAAATTCTATCATAATATTAAAATTAAATCCAGTTTAATTGAGTGTTTGACTAAGAATAAAGAATTAGAGTCAATAACTATCTCTATCAATAGGCATGACCCTCGTACTTACTTATACTTTTCTTAAGTTTCTTAGGAGGGAAAGATAATCTCGCAAGTCGCAACAGTGGCAGACTATAAAAACCATATAATATGAATAATTTAAGGTAACATTAAAATAGGCTTTTGGTGTTCTGCAAAAGGATATGACGCATTGGGATTCAGTATGCTCTGAATTTAAATCCCCCAAGGGAGTACAACATTCTTTTGTATCAAAGTTATCAAGCAGAAATGCTTCCTCTAAAACTACTTCAAATTTTCAGAGCACATTTTGATTAACAATTGGGACAAAAAAATGAAGTAATAAGTCCAGCTTCTATTATAATCAAATACAGATTGCACACAAGATCCAGGAGGGTGGGGCTGTAACAAAATAAAAATCTGGGTTCTACTATGATAATAATTGTTATTAGAGAATACCAGTCATTAAATCGTGGCTAAGAGATGTAACTTTACGTTAATGGTGAACAGAATCTAACTGTGGCCACTGGAGGTGGAGGATAACTTTACGTCAAAGATAACAATAATAATGTGCGTTTGACTTATTATTTCTGTCCATATTCCCAATCCTATTCTCCAAATAATGTTTGAAACATTTTTCCAGAAATATTACTATATTTTTTTATTACTTTTAGATCCCATAAGGTTATTAATTTCATTAAATACCCTCTAAAAAATTTAAAAATTAACAAAAATGCCCCAGTGACCACACTTGCTAGATTCCAGTAACCACCGTCAGTGGTAGCTGGAATCTGCCACAACGGTGAATTACCGATCGGAACTGATCTGGCCATCAATGACGGCCAAAGATGGTCTTCTTTGGCCTTTTCTGGCTGTCGACACCACATATGGCCATAGGATCTGGCCGGAAAAGGCCATAGCGACGCCATACCGGCCAGATCTGGCCGATATGTGTGGTTATGCAATTTTTCGGCTAGATTCCGACGGTGGTGACTGGAATTTGACACTGCAAGTGGTGGAGGTCTTTTTGTCATTTTACATATTTTTATATATTGGGATATTTATTAAATTAGCAAACTTAGGTGGTTTTTTATAAATTTTTAAAATTTACCTCGTAATACTCCCATATTCAATTATCTAATACTATCCCCAAAATCCTATCCAAAATAATAAATCAAACGCACTAGATTATCGTTTAGGCATATTCTCATTTTTGTATGCTTTTGAAACACATAGCATTGTTCCTTTTTGTTTTGAAGTTGCTTTTCCCCAAAAGATTGAGAGAGACAATTTTAGGTTATAAAATTACCAAGAATAAGCTCGAGGTGGGATACTGCACTAATTACCTATAGAATTAGTCGAGGAGTGCACAAACGAGCCCAAACACCTTGTTTAAAAAAAAAAAAAGTGTGAGGCATGTTCGATTTTTCCATTGGCAAGTTCGTAAAACAACCAAGATATAACTATTGTTTTAAAACCAGGACCGAATGGCAACTAGTTTTGCTGCCTCGGTCATAGGTCAACCGGTCCAATCAGTTGGACCGATGACGTCAACGATAATTTTATTTTTAAAAATTACATATTAATCTGTTAAATTTTAATATATTACAAAAGTTCCCCTAAAAAGTTTAATTAGTCCCTAAAATTTTTATTTATTGCCAAAATACCCCAAAAATTACCAATTAATCTCTAAACTTTTGACATATCTCCAAAACACCCTTCTAAAATTACGATTAACCCTTATAATTTTAAAATATACAAAAACCTCTTAAGACCTGAACCGGACCAAAAAAATTGCCAAGTCCCACTCCGATCGACCAGTCCGATCCAGTTTTTAAAATAGAGGATATAACCACTAAGCTTGTGATCAAATGACAAGACCTTAACCATTTAAATGGGTTACCCATAGATCTTATATTTGAGTTCCCACAATGACCACCAATCACATTGGTAATTTAACTGACCTATTGGATTTGTAAAGTATTTAATGAGTCTAAGAGATTAAACCCCGGTTATTAAAAAATAAAAATAAAAAAATAACCAAGATATAGTTTGTCGTAACATGTTTTAAGTCTAATCCTAAAATTTTTCGTCATTAAAGAGATATTATTTTATCATCTATTACAGCGTCTAATCATTTAAACGTTGTTGCTACATAAAAAAGGCACATTATTCTGATTTTTGCAATAGTATTTAAAAGCCAAAAAAATCGTCACACTGACCAATAAATAATAGTTTAAATGATCCACACATCAAATAGCTTCTGACGTTATTCTACAGCATTCTTTAAGTGAAGGGTCTCTGTTTACCCCATTGAAGGCTACACCTTAAAGCTTTACAATGCAAAGATAAGGATTCTTCCATCAAAAAGTTCCAGAGCACCCAACCATATTAACCCTATTACTATCCCAACTATCATGATTCCACTTCGCGCGCAAGTGCTCATAACAGATTAGGGTCACAGTTAACCAACCTCAAGACTTATCTTCTCAAACGGAGAATAAATAGAGCTCAGGCACATAACCTTCTAGGTAATGCAGAATTGGACCAAGTACAAAGAGTGCTCGATAACCTAAAAGCTTGCTAAGGAAATTAGGTGGATGGAATAGTAAGCTCTCCATTTTCAGAAGAGGTTCGTCAGATGCAGTTCCTTAGGGATGCTTTCAACGATCTGATGGAGTTGCATTAGGTCTCTAATTTGGTGAAGTGTTGTTGTTTCGTTGTACCATTAGTAGGAGATGCCAAGATGTGGTATAAGAGGCACCAAGCGGACTCAGTTCATTCATGGCAACAGTTTTCCACGTTGTATCTCCAATAATTCCAAGTGAGTAGATAGTTTTCCATGTCTCTCAACTATTTGAGTAATATTCGCCAAGAGGAGGGTGAATCTTTGACTTCATATTTAACGAGGTTCCAAAACAAACAAACTAAAGTTGTGGATGTACTAGAAGAATCAATCCGGACACTACTAATCTCCAGAATCAAGCCGCAAACTAAGTTGTGGAAGGAGCTACAAAAAAAGATCACGTAAATTTGTCTCAGTTTTATCAAATGGTTGCCAAATATCAGCGAGTTGTGAGCTCGCTAGTAGCATTAACCGGTGGCACCTTGAATAATGCCTTAGACTAATGGCAAGATCACGTAGTGGACAAAAAGAGAGGCCAAGACCGAGGTGACAAGAACCGGTATTGATTTAGAAGAGGTTGAGAACGGATTTTTGGCGAGAAAAAGACCTTTTTACCCGTTTGCTAAATATACTCCTTTAGTGGCCTCGTTAACTCGAATTTATGAGGTTTCTAGCAAGGCTAGAAGAATGCCTCACCCTGAAAAATGAGGGGGCCACAAAGCAGAAGGGATCTGCAGAAATATTACAAGTTTCACAGGGACATTGGGCATAAAACGAATGATTTTTGAGCCTGAAAGATGCGATCGAAGACTTGATTAGGAAAGGTCATTTGAAAGACTTTGTGGATAGAAATCGAGGTCGTGACAAGCAGGATAACTGAAACGATCAGCAACCATAATATCCACTACTAGAAGGCCACCAGGTAAAGATGATTTATGGTAGACCCAATATTATAGGAAACTCTAAACATGCTCATGCAAAATATGTGTGGGAAGCCAAAATAGACTCAGTTCCTCGAGTTATGAGCTTCAACGCAAAGCCGCCGAAGCGGTCTAAAATAGAAAGTGAAGTAATAGGCTTCACGAGAGAGGAGGGCAATCAATTTCCTTGCCTTAACCGTGATGCACTTGTAATCCCAGCAATAATTGGAAATAGCTGGGTATTCTGGATAATGGTTGATGATAGTAGTGCAGTTAACATCATTTACCTTGGTGCTTTCCTAGAAATGAGGTTCACTGAGCAGAATTTGAAGCCATGCCTAACACCATTGTATTATTTCACTGGGGACTGCCTGATCCCCAAAGGGACGATTAATCTATCGATAATGATGGGTGAAGACCCCCATACAATGAAGGTGATGGCAAAATTCCTAGTAGTTGATTACCCAAGGACCTAAAATGTCTTACTAAGAAGGCCACTCTTAGACGACTTAAATGTTATCACTTCAATTCGATGTCAAGCAATGAAATTCCCCACTCAAATGGAATCAAAATTGTCAAAAGCTCGTAGAAAGATTCTAGGCAATGCTATAATAAGGTGATAGTCATTGTCGAGAAATGGCCACAGCCAAAAATTATGGTGATAATTGAGACTAGGCCACAACCCAGACCATTTGAGGACACAATCGATCCTTGCATTCATAAAGAGGAACCATTAGTTAGGCCAATAGAGGAATTGTGTGAGGTTCCTGTCAGTGAGGAAGATCTAACTCGTGTCCTGAAAATTGGGAGCAGTTTGAGTAGTGAGCTGTCAGAGAAATTGGTGAGGTTCTTAAAGCAGAACCTTGATGTGTTCACTTGGATTCATGTAGACATGGTAGGAATAAGCCTATAAGTGATGTTCCATAGGTTGCACATTGATCTTGAAGCTCGACCAATCAGGCAGAAAAGAAGATCGATGGATTATAAGTGATCTCAAGCACTCAAAGACAATGTTGACAAACTTCTTAGTATCAACTTTATAAGATAAGTGAAATATCCAGATTAGCTTACCGAACTTGCGTAGAATGACGAGTGGCGGACTTGTGTCGATTTTACCAATCTTAATAAAGCATGTCCTGAAGACAACTTTCCGCTACCCTAGATAGATCAGCCAATAGATGCAATAGCCGGGAACACACTACTTAGCTTTATG